TCCAGGTCAGGCAGCATGGAAAGACATGGCAGGACAGGAAGGATCATTGAGAAAGACTGGGAAAGGCCTAGAATGTCATTCTGAGGAGTTGATTTATTTTGTCCTGTAGACAAAAGGGAACCCCTGAGGGTTTTGTGTCGGTGTGTGACAGGAGCTAACCTAGGTTTTAGGAAGCTAACTTAGGAATGTAATGTACTTTGCAGTGAAAACATGGAATAGATGATCTGAGAACAGAGGCAGGAAAGCAGAAAGGAGAAGGTTGCATCTCCAGGTGAGAGATGACAAGGGATGAAGGGATGAAGCAGTGAGGATGCCAGCAAAGAGGAAACACCAACAGAGAGCCATCGCAGGGAGCCAATAGGATTCAGTGGGATGGGAGAAGGAGGGGAAGTGTGCTGGTGCCTTGGGCCGAGCAGGGGACTCGGAGGGTGCTGTGTGCGTGGCGCCTGTGCGTGTGAGCTCACCTATGTGCTGGGGGATGGAGCTCCCAGGGTGGGCCGTTCTGGCAGTTGTGGAAGTTTGTGGGGCTGCTGTGACACGCCTGTCCGTTGTCAGCTAGGCAGATGGCAATGCTGGCCTGATGCTCAGGAGAGGGGCCGGGGACTGGGGATAGAGAGTCATCACCGTGGAGGGGTATTTGAATCCATAGGGAAGAATGTGATCCTCCTGGATGGCAGCATAGATGGAATGAAAAGAGAAGTCTCTAGAACACCCACACTATGGGGAAAGGAAGGGAAAGGAGGGGAAGGAGTCAGCAGAGCTGTGGTCAGAGGGTCAGGAGAGGGTCCAAGTGCCGTGGCCCACAGAGCTACATCTGGGCTAGGGCCGCACAAACACACTTACAACATCCTCCATTGACAGGACTCCACACCCCATCTGAGTCCCATGGCCTCATCCTTGCCACACAAGCACAGGACATGGCAGAGTCTGATAGCACTAGGCCTCCATTCAGGGTCAATATTTGTACCACATCAGGGTCACAACTTCTATTTCAGGCAGGAAGAAATAATTTATTAGTGGTAGAGCTAAAAATGTTACTTAAAAAAAAAGCCTGGTAAAGTCTCACTAGAGTTTTATTCAAAGTAGCCTCATCTTTCTTCCCATTCATCTGTTTGGAAGTGTGGATTGTAATATAGAGATGGGACCAGTATCCAGATGGGGAGAGTTCTGAGCAGGGTTTTCAAGGAGGAAAGACCTGGGCTGGCAGAGGATAGGGGAGGCAGTACGGCGGTGGGGGGAGAAGTGGTGGCCCCCCGCTCTTGGTGCTCACTGACCACAGGGGGGCCACAGACTTGCAGAAGGCGGGTGATGGGTGCGAAGATGCCGTGGGAGCCCAGTTCCCCACGCTGGGTGGCTGTAGGAAAGGAGGCACAGGGAGGACTCAGGACTCCACCCTGGGAGGCAGGGTCCTGCCTCTCCCTGCTGGGATCACAGGATCCCACACTCCACAGTAGGATAGGTCCAGCCACATGGAGAGCAACCTGTCAGCTTGTGATGAAAAGTTTTTTCTCCTCTTCTAACCCTCCTTTGGAGAGTCCGAGGAACCCAGAATCCCAACCTCCTCCCTGGCTTTGCCATTCAGTTGAGGCTCCACCCTGGAAGATCACTGACACCCTCTGTTCTTTCTGTTTGGAATTATTGCCCTGGGAGGGCTTTCCTTTTGGGAAGTAAGAGGGAGGAGGCATGGCCCTCTGATGAGAAAGAGACCCAGGAGGGTTACGAAAGAAACAAGGAGAGAAGGAAAAGGATGCTCAGGCGTACCTTACATCATTACTTAGACTTCTAATAGGCAGCGCCAACTTGGTACTTCCAATGAAATTCTCCTTTTTGTCACCTAACTCCCAAGCCTGACCCCCCGCATGTCTTTAGGTAGCACCACTCCTCACCCAGTTGCTCAGGCCCCAGTCCCTGGAGACAGCCTTTGACTAACCCATGAGCAACTCCTATTTATTGTCTCTGTCTTCAGTGTATTCTGAATCTTTTGTCTTGTCTCCTCCAAGAACAATCCAGGTGCCAGACTCTTATCTCTCACCTGGGCTCGCAACAGTTCTCCCCGCTCTTACCCTTGCCTCATGCAGAAGCCAGAGTGATGTTTTAGAAACAGAAATCAGGTTGCGTCATGCCTTTGTTCAAAATCCAATGGTGTTCACCACCCTTCGAACTAAACCCACAGCCTTTCTGTGGCCTGGAAAGCTCTGAACCATCTGTGCCCTGGATACCTTTCTGACCTCATTTCCAACCACCCTCCTATGTTCATTTGGCTGGACCAGCTGCCTCCTTGCCCATCCTCAAACCCAGCAAGTACATCCCCGCAGCAGGGCTTGGAAGACTTGTCTCCCAAACATACTCATGACTTGCTCTCTTTATGGCATCTCTGCTTACACATGACTTCCTAGGAGATGCCTGACGCATATTGGGGGAATAAGTGAATGAATAAACGAATGAATGATAATACCTGTATTTACCCTGTGCGTGGGTATAGGAAGCACGTAGTAACAGCCTGACCTAAGCTCTCTTGTCTTGGTTTTGAAATCTGCTCCCATTCCCAGGTCCCTCTGGACCTGCACAGAGAAGGTGGAAATCACTTCTGTGGAAAGAACCAGATGCATACACAGCTCGTGGCCACCAGAGGGCGCCACACAAGGCAGCATCTGCGCACTGCGGCACAGGCTGCGGCTACAGCAACCCTCCCCTCACCAGCTCCGGAGAGATGTAGAGATGGGAACTGGATATCCACAGGCTAGGGTTTCTGAAACAGCCCCTGGCTCCCTGCATATTCGCTAACCCAGGTCCTGAGAGCTTTTTTAAGAAGGGCAGGTGAGATTTTGAGACTTAAAAATGGGTTTTTCCCCCCACTATTTGTCAAGCTCCAAACCCCAGCACCTCCAAGTCACCTGAGATCAGGTTGCTGACAACAGTCCCTTCCTCCCCCCACCCCCACCAAATACAGACCCCAGAAACTGGAGGTTTAATTAAGTAATACAAACCCCTCTACCTGATAAACCCCTTTAATCATCCACCCCCCTCCAGGAACAGTGTTCCCAGCCTGTCCAGGATGACTTGGGTCTATCCCCTTCTAGAAGGCCACTGCTCCACGTAACATCTCCCACAGCAAACACTGCTGTGAACTGCGATTATGAGAGCCTCCTGAAAGCAGAATCTGGTTTAATGAGGGTGGGGGTGTGGAGATAGAAAGAGATTAGGCACCAACAAAGGGAGTACCCAGGGCCAGGAGTCTCCTTTCCGATTTCTCAGCCCCCGTACTAAGTCTGAAATCTCTAGCATCCAGACTCAATCCCTGTACTCACACACCCTTCTCCAGACCCTCCCTCTTCCCCCCTGGGTGAATCCTGCGTGGGCAGGTCAGCCCTGCAGGCTGCATGCTGGACAGCGTCTTAGAGGTCACCTCACGGTTTCCAGGGCACATCCAGCACGCTGAGAACCCACTGCTCATTCCCGCCTCCGCCCCATCCCAGGTCCTCATGTTGTGGTTTGGCCCACTGGGCTTGGTGGAGCGTCTTCCTGATGGTACGGACCCTCTGCTTCCCAGGCACGGCTGCCCATGGCCTCGCCTGTCTTTCCCGTGCCCCTTCTCAGGGGCTGAATGCTGTGCTGTTCAGAACGGGGCCCTCACTTAGCAGAGAGCCAGAAGGTGGGACTGGGCAGGGCAGGGAGTGAGGCGGTGAATTGCTGCTCTAGCCAACAGATGTCCTGAGGTGGGGATGTGGCAGGGAGGTGAGTTCAAGTATTTAGGGCAGGGCAGCATCTGAAGTGGATGTAGTCAGACTCCCAGGTCCTCCTGTCTTCCACATGGCTCCTGCTTTTTGGCCATTCCCACTGAAAGCTCCTTTTAAAATCTCCTCACTCACCCCCAGGTGCCCAACGTGTGGGATCGCTTTGCCTGCAAAACAAACTGCTTTCATTATGTAAAGATGAGTGTGTCTATTCACTGTTAACAATGTGAACATTTATAAGGGCCAACATAGCTTCTGGCCAACATGAGAGACTGTGGACCGCCTCGCTGAAGTGTGAGAATTCAGCCCAAAGTAAAGCCACTTGACATTCTCTTTTGCCTGGGAAGCCTTGTTACAAGTAAAGGTGTGACTTTTCCTAGGGCTTTTTGAAATCCTAAAATAACTAGAGTGCCTCAGTATTACCCCCACAGACTTCAGTCTCTGGAGATTCCTGAGTGTCAACACTGGCTTTGGCATCTGACTTGTTCTGTCCTGCAAAGTCCCACTCCTTAGATTGCTGTTTTTTGCTGGGTGAATAAAGGTTCATCTGCTAATTTTTCACAAGTTTCTGTAAAAAATGGATTCGTGGACTAATTTTAACCATAGCCCTTGCAGGTAACATAACTCTTTAGCCCAACAAAACACAGCTATCTCTGGAACATAAAATTGTATGCACAGCATGGCTATAACTCCATTAAAAGCAACAACAACTGGTAGGATTTCCAGCCATGGCAGAGTGAAGAGGTTGGCAAATCCTCGCATCCAAAAATAATGTTAAACTGGACAAAAGTGTCAAAAATAATCATTTCAGGGCTGGCTCTGAAAATTGATCAAATACAAATGACACATTAAGAAATATTTATTCATAAAAAAACTGTTGAACTTCTGTTAAGAACAACGGGAGTCTGGGGTGTTCTTGCTCCAGGCTGCCCCCCTCCTTCTGAGCTCGGGAGAGTAGAGCTGGCAGAGTGTGGCTGGATGTGAAATCCAGCAGCTTTACTGCTGGAGGAGGCTGTTGATTCAGAGAAGAGGGTGAAAGTCCCATGTTCAGCAGTTTTCAGTGAAAGTAGCAAACTTGGTATAAAACAAATGGGAAAGCCCACCACCCTGCTTGCTTGAAGTTTCATGCTGCTCGAATTAAAAAAAGAAAAATGTAGGGGGCTTTCCTGGTGGTGCAGTGGTTGAGAGTCCGCCTGCCGATGCAGGGGACATGGGCTCGTGCCCGGTCCGGGAAGATCCCACATGCCGCGGAGCGGCTGGGCCCGTGAGCCATGGCCGCTGAGCCTGCGCGTCCGGAGCCAGTGCTCTGCAATGGGAGAGGCCACAACAGTGAGAGGCCCGCGTACCGCAAAAAAAAAAAAAAAAAGAAAGAAAAATCTAATGCATCAAAATTATTGGAATGCCATTAAAGCAGTACTTAGGAGAAATTTATAGCATTGTATGCCAATATTACAAAGGAAGATCTCAGATCAATAACTCCAGTTTCTACCTTAAGAAACTAGAAAAAGGAGAGCAAATGAAACCCAAAGTAAGCAAAAGGAAGGAAATAAAGATCAGGATGGAAATCAATAAAATAGAAAACAGAAAACAATAGATAAAAATCAATGAAGCCAAAACCATTTTTTTGAGAAAATCAATAAAATTGATGTAGTCAGTTTAACTAGATAAAAGAGAAATAAATAAAACCATAAATGAAAGAGGTGATATTACTACTGATTCTGAAGACATGAAATGAATAATAAGGGAAAAAATCTAGTGAACACCTTTATGCCAATAAATTCAACAACTTAGCAAAATGGAGAAATTTCCTAAGAGACACAAACTACCAAAGCTCACACAGAAGAAATAGATAGCCAAACACCTCAATGCTTATTAAAAACATAAATTTGTAGTTGAAAACCTGCCACCAAAGAAAATTTCAGGCTCAGATGAATGCTACCAAATATTTAAGGAAGAAATAATTCTACACACACACTTTCAGAAAATCAAAGAAAATACTTCTATCATTACCCTAATACTAAAACCAGACAAAGACATCACAAGAAAAGAAAACTACAGAGCAATATGCTTCATGAACATAAATGGAAAACTTGAACAAAAATTTATCAAATCAAATCCAAAATAATAAAAAAAAGAATAATACATCATGACCAAGTGGGGTGTATCCTAGGAATACAAGTTTGGTTTAACTTTCAAAAATCAACGTAATTCAACATACTAAAGAAATAAAAGAGAAAAACCATATGATTATCTTAACAGACACATTTGACAAAACCCAATATTCACTCCTGATAGAATCTCAGCAAACTAGGAATAGAAGGGAGTTTTTTCAACCTGGTAAAATGCATCTATAAAAAAACCTTTAGGGGGCTTCCCTGGTGGCGCAGTGGTTGAGGGTCCACCTGCCGATGCAGGGGACGTGGGTTTGTGCCCCGGTCCGGGAAGATCCCACATGCCGTGAAGCGGCTGGGCCCGTGAGCCATGGCCACTGAGCCTGCACATTCAGAGCCTGTGCTCCGCAACGGGAGAGGCCTGATACTGCAAAAAAAAAAAAAAAAAAACCTTTAGCTAGCACCATACTTAATGGTGAACAACAGAATGCTTTCCCCCTAACATCAGGAAAACAAGTATGTCCACTCTAACCGTTTCTATTCAAGAGTCTACTGGAGATTGTGGCCAGTGCAATAAGATAAAAAAGACATTCAGATTGGAAAGGAAGAAGTAAAATTATCTTCATTCTTTATTTCTATGTAGAAATCCAATGGAATCTATTAAAAAAAAGCTACTAGAATTTATAGATGAGTTTATCCACGTGTCAGGTTACAAGATCAAAGTACAAAAATCAACCATATTAGTTCTAAATACTAGCAACAATTAGAAATGGAAGTTAGAAACATCATTTACCATAGCATTAAAATATGAAATACATAGGGACAAATCTGATACAAGATGTGAAAAACTTTTACACTGAAAACTGCAAAACATTGCTGACATAAATGAAAGACCTAAGTAAACAGAGGTATATATTACATGCCAAAGTGGGAAGACGCAATATTAAGATGTCAGTTCTTCCCCAAATAATCAATATGTTCAATGCAATCCTAATTAAAATCCCAGCATAATTTTTAATAGAAATTGACAAATGGGATGCAAAGGACCTTGGACTAACGAAAATAAATTTCAGAAAGAACAAAATTAGAGGGCTAACACTATGTGATTTCAAGATTTATTATAAAGCTACAGTAATAAAGAGTGTGTGATATTGATCAAGATAGACAATTAGATTCACTGAGCAGAAAAGAAAGCCCAGAAATTGACTTACACATATATGGACATTTCTGATAAAGCTGCAAAGGCAATTCAGTGTGGAAAGGATAGTCTTTTTAACAAGTGAGGCTGGAATAATTGAATAGCTGAATGCAAACACATGAACGTAGGCCCTTCCCAATACCATAAACAGAAATCAACTTCAAAACGGATCATAGACCTAAGTGAAAGAGCTAAAACTAAACAACGGCTAGAAGACATGTAGAAAATTTTTGTGACCTTGTGTTACTGGGAGATATATTAGATGTGACTAAGAAAGCATGACCTATAAAAGAAAAAAATGATAGTCTAATTTTCTTCACCAAAATTAAAAGCATTTGCTCTTTGAAAGCAACACTAAGAAAATGAAAAGAGAGAGACCCAGGCTGGGAGATAATATTTGCAAATCCTATATCTGATAAAGGACTCACATCCAGAATGTAGAAAGAGTTTCTATAAGTCAATAAAGAGGAGAAAAAGAACTCAAAAAATAGGTAAGAGATTTGAAGGAACATTTCACCAAAGAATAAATACAAAGGGCTAATAAGCACATGAAAAGATGCTTGACATCCTTAGTCATCAGGAAATGCAAATTAAAATCACACTGAGAAGCCACTACACACTATAACTATAATAAAAAAGACTGACAATACCAATTTTTGATGATGGTGTGGGGAAATTGAAATCACATACATTGTTGGTGGGAGTGACAAATGGTAAATCCACTTTGGTAAATAGTTTGCAGAGCCTGTGCTCCGCAACGGGAGAGGCGACAACAGTGAGAGGCCCGCGTACCGCAAAAAAAAAAAAAAAAAAACCAACAAAACATCCATGACCCGCTTCCTGCTTCCCCTGTGAAGCTTTAATGATAAGAATGTAACAAGGATGCTGCTGCTGCTGATGATGAGGAGGAAGACGGCCATTGTTTACTGGGTATCTACTGCAGTCCGTGTTTTACTGCATCTCATTTAGTCTTCCCACCAACCCTATGAAAGAGGAATTGCTGTCCCTGTTTCACGCACAGGAAACTGACTCCACAGGTGGTGTGGCTCTTGACCCAAACCTTGATGTCTGGGGTCACAGAGGCTTGGGCTAGACTCCCAACTCAGCTCCTTCCTGGCTCTGTGACTTTGGAAAGTTACATCATCTACAGAAGCTATCATTTAATTATCAGTAAAACATGAATAATAAAAACACCTACTTCAAGGAGCTGTTAAGGATTAAATGAGACACTGAAAGAAAACACTCAGCACACTGCTTGGCACAAAGTAAGTGTTAAGTTAATGGCCACTCAAAAAGACTTGGTAGTTCCAGATTCTATCCACTGCCCCATGTTGAAGTCTCCCTCCCTTGAAATGTGAAGTCCTAACCACTAAGCCTCTTGTTTATACCAACAAGACCATGCCAGCTAATGCCATGTTATCTTGATCTACTTCTGCTTCTCCTTCTCTCATCAGTTAGATCATAAGCACTTCAGGACCAGGACTAACTCCTGGGTTTCTCTATACTCCATGATTGAAACTGGCACTTAGTAGATGCTCAGTAAATGTTTAATGATTGATTAAGTCTGAAGAAAGAGAGCAGGGAGGGAAAGGAAAAACGGTGAGAGAAGAACACTAAAATAAAACTGGAGACATCTAAATAGTAATCTAATTATAGAAAATGTTAGTGCCAGACTTGGGTTGGGGAGGAAGTGAGAGAGGCAGAAACTCCTGTGAGGTGGACAGGAAGTGAATAGCAAGGCCAGGAATGGGAAAAGAGGGTATTGAAAGTAGTGCAATGCCTTGAGGCAAACATTTATATTTAGAGGGACCGCTCTTGGGCAATGTTGAGTTTCCCCTTTTCTTGAATTCAGTACCACATGGATGATTGAAATGAGGTGAAAAAGCCACTGTTGGCACAGTGGTCAAGAATCCGCCCGCCAATGCAGGGGACACGGGTTTGTGCCCTGGTCCGGGAAGATCCCACATGCTGTGGAGCAAATAAGCCCGTGTGCCTCAACTACTGAGCCTGTGCTCTAGAGCCCACGAGCCACAACTACTGAAGCCCGCGCGCCTAGAGCCCGTGCTCCGCAACAAGAGAAGCCACTGCAATGAGAAACTCACGCACCAACAAAGCCTTATTGTTTGGAGATGATGGTGCTGGTTGAAGAGGCTTTTCACTGATCACAGTCTGCACATGTGACCTGATGAGGGCAAAAGCAGTGTGCGGCCAGAAGCGTTAGTGGGCACGGGTCCAGCAAAGGTCAAGAAGCAATTCCCAGCTCTGTCCTCCACACTGGGCATGTCCTGATTTGGAGTTGGCTTCTCAGTTTTGATCCATGGGTTTTAAAGAAGAGAGAGAAATGGGAAAGAATCTAGCAAAATAGGTGAGGAGTGAAATGCTTTCCCCTTCTTCCATGCTCACCCTCTGGAATCTCACCCATCTATTAAGGTTTGCTTTAAAGAGTCCCCTCCCCCACCATGTCAGGGCTGACCTGACCATCCTCCATATTCCTACAGCACTGGTTTCTACTTGGGGACAGGATTCACCCCAAGCTGTTTTGTATGAGAAAAATGAGAGAGGAAGACTTCGTTCCCTGTAGTCTGTGAACTCATTGAGAGTAGGTCTCTATCTCGTTCATCTCTGTACTGCCTTAGGGGGCTTCGCCCAGTGCCTGGCATATAATGGGTGTCCCATAAATTTTTGTTGGTTGAGTTCTCTTTGTGGAGGACTGCACAAGAGGAGAGGACTTGAAAGGATTCAGGAGGCCAGATACGGTGCCTTTGTGGTACCCTGGATTTCCCACGTCTTATTGCCAATCACACAGGATTCTCTTGAACGTTTTAGATCCATCTTCCCCAACCAGATCCTCGAGAGCAGAGATGGGCTGACTTGTGCTCAGTGGAGGACAAGTGAGTGCTAGATGACTGCTGGGTGAGTGCACACAACTTCACACACTGTTGATTGACTTAGGGCTCAGCAGGGTCCATTCCTTGAGGGTCATGGTCTTGTCCTTCAGACTCAGGAGCAAGTCCCTGGCTGCAGGGCCTCCCATGTTCTCCTCAAACTTGCATGTGGTTCCATTCATCTCCCAGGACAGATCCTTGAGGATCTTCAAGAGTGGCTCTCAAACTTGGCCTCCTGGGAGAACTTTTAAAATTCCTGGTATCCAGACCACATGTCAGATGATTAAATCTGAGCGTCTGGGATGAGAACCTGAGATGAGATTTTATTTATTATTTTTTTTGCAGTACGCGGGCCTCTCACTGTTGTGGCCTCTCCCGTTGCGGAGCACAGGCTCCGGATGCGCAGGCTCAGTGGCCACGGCTCACAGGCCCAGCTGCTCCGCGGCATGTGGGATCTTCCCGGACCGGGGCACGAACCCGTGTCCCCTGCATCGGCAGGCGGACTCTCAACCACTGTGCCACCAGGGAAGCCCCCTGACATGAGATTTTTTAAAAGAGCCCCAGGTGATTCCAAGGGCTGATAAGTTTTAGAAACACCTGTTTGGGAAATTGAGTAAGTCTCAATAAACCAGAAAATTAAATAAATAAGGACACCCATGCCTCTGACACAACATAAATAGAGGTACCAGTGTAGGACATTTATTAAAGAACCAAGGATCTGGTGTGATGGCCATAATTTGTCCAGATGCTGCCAACGTTTGCAGATCACCCTGAGAAGCAGGCACTGTTGGGTACTTCCTTCTTAGCACACGTGTTCTCTCTTCCCCTGTGTGTTTATTCAGCATTTGAATATTTTTTGCCATGTTTCTCCCCTCACTAGACCATGAGTAACCTGAGAGCAGGAACTGTGTCTTCATAAGCACACTGTCTGACCTGTGGTAGATGAATGACATATATTTGTGACATAAATGTGTCCATGAATTCATTCATTCATTGATTTACTCATTCATTTATGCAAGCATGTATTCACCAAAGGATAATAATGACAGAGAGAAAGGTATTGCATTGGCAGAGAAGGGAAATTAATCAGGAAGGGAGGAAAGAGAATAGATTCCACGAAGAGATAGAATCGAAAGTAGGGAAGTCAAAGCTGAAGAAGAAAAGAAAAGAAAAAAGAATATTCATCTGTGTAATGCGGTGGTAGGTAAGTCAGGCTTGGAGAAGCCAATGTTTTTTAATCAAATGGACTCAAAATTAATTAATAACATCTGTAAGTACTCTGTACTTTTCCTCCTTTTTAGAAAATCCATTAATTACTATGGAGTTATTTGCATCACCTCTCTCTTCTCCTCCAGGGGAGTAGCTCTAGAAGAGCTCCCACCCTTGGCATTTCCCTCCCTGTCCCCAGTGTCTAGCACAGTATGACACATAGTGAAAGCTCAGGAAATACTCACCAAATGACTCAATGAATTGCTCAGTTTCAGTTCCCTCTTCCATTAAAAAAAAAATCATACTATCCTCACCTCAGGGTTGTTATGGGAAATAACTTAGATAGTATACATAAGCACCGGCTGCATGCTAGGCATCCAACAATTGTTAGTTCATTATTAGTGTTAAGAAAAAACAATAAATACTAAGTGCCGACTCTGTGCCAGGCCCTGTGCTAAGTGGTGGCCAACAAGAGATGACCAAAAGTGCAAAGAAACTGCCGCTTTTAGAAAAAGTAAGGATTTGAGGACTCCAGTGTCACCACTTCTCCCTTCAGCCACCAAAGAGCCTCAGCAAACTCCCACATGCACCCACAACGCCCTCCCTGGCCACGCCCTCACTGCAAGTCCTGGAACCTCACGAACTGGCCTTTCACTCCACCACCACCAGATGGCAGCACAAAGCCCATGGACTGCTCGGCCTGTGGCAGGCCAGGCACAGTCAAAGCCCTGTGCAGGGTGTCTGTCTGAGAAGGAGGGGACCCAGCCCCTGCCCATCTGGCCTTGATATGCTGGTTGGGACTTATAGTTAATGCTTTGGGATTGGCCCTTTCCTTTCCATTTCCAACGCCCAGATTCTAGCCCCTCATCCTGGGGTCACCACCCACCTGCAGGGTCCTTGCTCAGAATCCTTCCCAGAGCACCTTCCTTTCACCTCCGTTTGCTTACAGATCCCCTGCTTTTGTGAAGACTCAGAATCCCCTGTACGGCTCTTAAGGGACACCCCCATCAAAGCTCACCTTCTCAAGCCTTGTTACACCTCAACATGACCTGCGATTCATCTCCCGTCCTCTCTGCCTTTACTCACATCACTCCTTGTCTGATAATATCCATGCTCATATATGGGGCCCCTCTTTTTCTCCCACCCCCTCGGAAACCCAGCTGAATGCTCACTTTTAGGAAATCTTCCAGATTGACACCGGATGATGGCTTACTCTTCTGTGTGCTCCATCAGCACTTCCTTTCTTGGTAACTGCTCTCTGGGCTTCAGGTTTGGGTTGACCTGTTTGCATAATGCTTTATCAGAAATCTTCAGGTGTTTCCTGTCACCCCAGCAAGGGAGGGCAAGAATGGGTCTTTCTCTTAAAAGAAAAACAAGGCCTTTCTCAGTGCCCTAGTCTGTACACTTAATAGTCCTTAATAGCCCTTAACAGTCACTGATGGACTGAAGGGAGAAAGAAGGTCTGTGAGTGATGAAGTGCACAGGAGCCTGGACGTCAGGGTGATGCTTGGACGCGAGGGGAGGACTGCGGGGCAGGTGCCAAGGCTTGCACTGACTGGGGAGGGACAGATTGTTGACAGACGGCCAAAAAGGTAGGGAATCTGGTGCTGTACCAGGTCCAGGAGCCTCCTAAGAGCAGGGTTGTTACAGGAGGGCCGGGAGCCGTGACTCTGGGGATAGGGTCGTGGGGAACAATGGCCTTCACCATTTGAAAGGGCAGCAGCTAAGTGCCTGCAGAGGAGACAGGTTTCCTTAGGGTGAGGAGTACAGGAGCATCATCAGGCAGGTGAGGGTCCAGGTGCAGGGGGAACATATGGGAGAGAGGAGAGCCGAGGTAGGGATGCCCTGAGCCGCATGGAGTCAGAGGAGGATGAGCAGAGCCTGGTTGCAGGCGGAGGCCCTGGGGTGCTGCTTTCCTTCCCAGGGCTCTGCCCCCTCCTTCATCCTCTCCTCTACTTCCTCTTTGTTCTCCACTCCCCACAGCCAGAGCAAAGCACCAGTCTGTGGCATTCGAGAGGTGCCCTGATGACAACCGTGGTGGCTAAGAACTAAAGGAGAAATGCTGAGCCCTCGAGGGCGGGGGTGGCCCGGACACGGCGCCTGCCAACTGGGCGCACCCTCTCATCTGGATCCCTGTTCTCCACTCACCCAAGGCTCTGTTCTGCTGAGGACTTGCCATTTTCTAGATGCTGAAGTTTGAGCAGGAGAGGCCTCAAGAAGACACTGGACCTAGCCCCAGCCTTAAGCCAGCTGAGATGGGTGGCTGGTCTGAGCACAAGCAGCTGCAAGGTGGCAGAGACAAAATTAAAATTAACCTGATGTGTGGACTCCCCTCTTCTTCCTGCCTGCGTGGGCTGCCCGTTTGTACGGTTGTTTTGGTTTACTGAAAGCTCGGTTTACTAGCCCCTTTATTCTGCTGAATCTGTAGTATGTATTCACCACATGACCTTGGGAAATGCACAACATGTACTCTGGCCCTCAGTTTCCCCCTCTGTACAATGAGGTACTGAACCAGAGTGGTGAGTTTTCAACCATGTCAGGTGGAGCCCAGGACTCAGCAGAAGAGGCTGAGGGACCCCTGGGGGCGGATGCTGGGGAGAGTCTGAGCGGGGATGTTTCCCGGTTCCATCTGGGTTTCCACCTGAGCAGCTGCTCTTGGACCTGCCTGAATACTGTGGTTTTGCGTGAGATTGTGTTTGGAATGAGAATTCAGCTACTAAAACAATGTTAGAATTTGTGGTCTTGCCTAACCCTGACCCTGTATGAGCCTGTTGCAGTTGTACTGTGAGGCGTGTCCTTGGGGGTGTGTCCCCATCTGCAGGCCCCTGTCAGTGTGAATGCCTAAACACTTGGGGGGTCACGCAGGCAGCTTCAGGACCTCTCTGCTCAGTGAAACGCTGATGCTCTTTGGTGGTGGTTGTGATGTTCTCTCAGAAACCTGCTTTTACTAAAGTTGTTTGATGGGCCCAGGGTTGGGGTGCCCCATAGTAACCTTGCTGATAAATTACATCCCAAGTCTAGCGAGCAGGGCAGACAGGTCCTGTAGCCAAGGGACAAGGCCCGGACATGTTCTTTGTCACCTGGCACCAGCTGGAATCCCTCATCGCTGGGCTAGCAGCTGTGAGGGATCACTTGGCCACCAGGAGAACTCCCCAGCTGGGACCTTTCTGAGAATCTGTGACAGAGATGCGACATCTGTGAGTCTGCTCAGGGGAAAATCCAGCTGCTTGGCTCAGTCCCTGGCCCCGGTGGCCACGGGGAAGAGCTGAGAGGCAAAGAGAGAGCAGAAGATGGGCTGCTTTGCTTTTCTCAGTTTCCACAGCAGCTCACGAGATCTGCATTTCCCTGTTTCATAAGGGAAGTTGGCAGGCGGGACTGGAACCAAAAGAGGCCCCACCTTGTGGCAGATGGTGAAGCCCACAGCTGCTGAGTATGGAGGGTTTCTTTCCCCTACCATCTGGGTTCTCACCTTTGACTCATCCCTTTTGCTTCTGACCCACAGTGGCTCCAGTCCGGCTTTTAGTCTGCACGTGGTATGTCTGGACAGTGAGTATCAGGCAATGGGGTGAATCTTCGAGGTGATGAATCACAGAAAAACCCCCCAAATGTTGAGACAGAGGCACCAGGAAGGAGGATGGGGCTTGTTTCACAACTCAGTGAGATGGATTCTTGGTGCCAAAGGCTGTCTTTTCTGAAGGGAATGTTAGCCAAGTGTGGGCCTGACAGCCATGGGTGTTTAGAGGGCTAACCCTGGAGCAGTCCCTGGAAGGACTGGGGTGATGGTTCAGGACCAAGGTGGGGAAGGGCTGGTGGCTGGGGGTGTCACTCCCCACAACAGTGACAATCAACACTGAGGAGAGGGACCAGAATCCCTTCACTAACCTGAGGCAAATCCTCAGCTTCCGAGGAAGCCAAGTGACTTTGCGTTCCATTCTTGGACAAGTCTCGGTGGGGCAGAGAGCCGGCCTTGCTCTGCATGGCAGAGACCAGACAGAGAGGGCAAGGCTCAGCTCCAAGCAGTGGATTTTGGGAGTCACGAGAGAGGGCAGGAGTGTGTCTGGGGCCAGCACGGCAAAGGTCCTGCCAACCAAGAAGGGTTGCTTGAAAGGGTTGGGGTATTTAGTCCAGAGAAGAGGAAGGGAGAAGAGTGGTTTGGAACCCCCATTGCTCCCAATGGCAGAACTGAGGCCATAGATGGAATGACAGGAAGAAAAATTCCAATTCACCAGAGCCAGACCTATCTGGTCATTTGAAGACAGCAAATGTCAGTGGCTAAGACCCTGGGCTCTAGAGTAGTATTACCATGAGCACCCTCAGGAACTGCTCTCGCACGTGGTTATGAGACCCACTCAGTGTTGGCCTGCATCGTGAGTTTTGAAAAACTGTATCAACAACCAAAACAAATTGGGAGAGTATGCTTACAAATCTATAGTTATAACCTCTTTTGAAAAATCTGAAGGTCTGATCACCTAGGTTCATATTCTCCCGTGGAACAAGAAATGGAACCTAGGTGGCCGCTGCCTCCTCTGAATAAGGTAATTACATCCTAGATTGTCATAGGTGCCACCTCCCTCCACCCTTCTTAGACCCGCATGGTTTCACTGATCCCCAGGTAGGGATGGTAGTTCACAACCTTGTTCTAGGTAAGAGCTCAAAGTCTGCATCTTGGTTTGGCCATTTTTAAGCTATTGTGATTTTAGACAAGGGGGTCAACTTCCATAAGCCACAGCTTCTTTACCTGAAACTGGGAATCATAACAGTACTTACCTGGGAGAGTGTGAGAACTCCTGGAAAGCAGCTGGCCCAGAGCATGGCACACGATGAGAGCTCACCAACTCTTAGCTACTGGGGAACTGTCCAGCAGTGGAGGGGGAAGTCTCACAAAACTTTGGGAGCTCCATCGCCAACATTGGGCCTGCAGAAGCCAGGGACTGCTGAGGATGGAGAGCCCCCAGGAATCTCTGAAATGAATGGACTATGCATCAGTTCTCCTTGCACCTTTCCCAATGACCAAGTCAAAGGTGTTGGTTTAGGGCTGCCCTTGATGCTTTTTGAAATCACTTAGAGTAACTTGCACCCACTTGGGAGGCTGCTGTGTGCTCAGTGAGGTGAGGGCTCCAGCCCCAGCTGACTGGGAGGTGGGAGTGGCCCCCTGCCACTTCCTTTTCTGCTTCTGGGTTACTCTGTGCACCCTGGCAGCACTTCCTGCCTTGGTAGCCAGCATGGGCTCCTCAGTCAGCTCTGCAGGCAGCCGAACCCATCCCCATTCCTTGGCTCCACGATAGAGCATTAGTACATCAGGACCCGCCTGGGCCCTGGCTCTCCCCCTGGATGGGGCCTTGGTGGTGTGGGTGTCCTTCAGGAGGTCTGGACCCAGTCTGATGAGAGACACTTTGGGAGCTGGCTCCCCCAGGCTCTGAGAAGTCCCCTGCTGGCGCATCACGGAGTGTCTGAGGGATTCAGTTCTGCACCCTAAGCCTCCATGTACTTCCTGGCTCTGGGAGCCGAGTCTGCTCTAGGGACTTGGAATGCTGAGCCAGGAACGGACACCTCCTTCTCAGGGAGGTATCAGAGGGGAGGAAACTGGATCTAGAGGCTGCGAGCGTAGCAGTATAAGGGAAGAAGGTCCCTGGGCAGAAGCGTGGGAGAGAGCGAGGAATCATCTGAAGGCCACGGGAGGGCAGCCTGTTGGGATCAGAGGACAGTGGCTAAGATGACATGGGTGCCAAGAACTAGCAGGGCCAGTGGAGTGAATTGAATGAGCTGGGGAGTTCATGCTCTGAATCTGCTTCCCTCGCTGTGTCTCCATCCTCCATTCCCCCTCCTCTTCGCCATTCGCTGTGGTCCTGACACCTAAACAGCCAGAGAGCAACTCTCAGTAACCGGCCCACTCGCCTCCACCCTAGGTGGTGCTTCCCGTGCTTGTATCTCCCTTCTGGTTGGCCTGGGGAGAGCAGAGCAGTAGGAGGCTGGTACCGATGCTGGTCCAGAGCCCAGCCTCCTACAGAATCATTAGACCAAGCCCCGACTTGGCAGGCTAACTTAGCCCGACGTCAGGGCTCAGGCTCTTTGCTTCCTGTACTTGAGCTAATTGGTCTCCTTGGAGAAGCTGTTCAGCCTCTGCCCTCTGGGCACCTGTCCCCGGGGAGTGGCCCCTCCTTGGCCTTTGCATTGGGCCTCTGTGGCTGCTGAATACCATCCCAAGCCATGTCTGAGGGCCTCTGGCTTGCATTTGGGAAGCTGGCAAGTCATTCAGACAGTAAGTCTGAATCAGATATTAGGTCTAAGAGAGTTTCACATACTTCATAGCATGACCTTGTTGGGATGTTTACTTGCTGTTCTCCTGGTTCTCCCAAATTAGTAATTGATTAACTCTTGTTTTGACATTCAGAGCTGATTTGCTTACATTCTATTGAACTGCACCTGCTCTGCGAGTGGGTGTGTGTCAGGAGGCTGGGAGAAGTCGGGGCAAACAACAGAAGCTTTCAAGGAGATGCATGGCTCGGGAACTGGTTTTGTACATCAAAATACAATTCAGCCCTAAAACTGTGGGTCACCTACCGTATGAAAAGCCCTAGATTAGACTCCAGTGGCAGAATAAAATCATGGCAGGTACTGCCTTCTCTCTGGAGACTTGTGTTGGGGGAACAAGAGCAGATATACAAACACCAGCTAGATTGCATAATGCACCCCCACCCCCATTTCCACTGTTCCTACACTCACAATCACAGTCGAATACACATCTGCGCGTGTCGCGTCATACATGCGTAGATCAGCCCAGGTTGTGGGTTTTGAGATTTTGGCCATCAAAAGCTACAAGTAAAATCTCCCCTTTTTGAATCTGCATGTCATTACAGCACCGTGGTCAGAGGATGGGCTCTGAAGCCGGAGGGTCTGGGTGAGAATCCAGCTGCCTCCATTCTAGCTAACTGAGCTTAGACATGCCACTGAACATCTCTGTGCTTCAGTTTCCTCATCTGTAAAACAGGGTTTACAGTGCCAACTTTGCAGGGCTGCTGAGCAGTTTAAAGAAGTTAAACAGGTACGTGGCAGTGCTCAGTAGCTATGACCATCATTCCTAAGATCTCACTGCTTGCAGAGGCTAATGGTTAACACAGAGGCCTGTTTTTAAGATAGGGACGTGGGGCAAATAAGAGAATATTTGCCTGGTTTTAGGAGAAGCCTGGGCCCTGGAAACTTGGTGCTTCCCACACAGCTGCTGAGTCCCACCTCAAATTCATTTAGTAAACATATAATGAAGATCTGCCCTTTACAAGTTAGGTAAGGATTGTTGGAAAACAGATACTTGAGGCATGGAGCCTATAGGCTACTT